ATGTTTATGTGTGTCTTTGTCTCTTTATATCGTGTTAGTTGAGAGTTTGTCTCTTGTGGTTGTGTTTGTTGGTGGCGGTGCTTCCAGCTGGCTGGGCAGGAGGCCCGTGTAGATGTGGAAGTGGATTTTGTGAAGCTGACGCCGACATGCAGTGAAGTTGGTGCCGGCTGTCAGCTGCTCGGTGGAGGAGGCGAGTTTAGCGGTGGGAGAGGTGGTGGGTTATGGCAGCATTAAGTCTGCCTCCCGCATGAACGGAGCCATTGGTGTTTTTAGATCATACTGACAAAGTAAACGATGTGGTAGAAAAAGGGGTAATTATTAAAGATACTTTTACCCCGGTTCTCCCTCTGGTTAACCCTGCCAGGAAAGTTACATCTCCAACGCTCCCCCGTTCTTAAAAAATGAGTTATTGTTAAAAGAGCTATCCAGGTATGACAGGTTGTCCCCTCAAGATGGTGTCCCTGGGCTGTAAGTCTCCATGTTAAAACACGTTGTTTGTCACAGACAGGTTTTCATGGTGCTAAAGAACAACTCGGCAGAAATTAATTTATCTTTTAATTTCAAGTGGACGGATTTAATTACATGGTGTTTGCAACTTCGGAAACCATGAAATGTTTTGGCTGTGGTGCAGAGGGCCATCTAATTCGCTCATGCCCGAAAAACTTTTTAAAAGAGCAGGGAAATGTTGCCGCGGCGTCGGCGCTGCCGCGGTGCCCAGCGCGGCTGCCGCTGGCGGGCGGTGTGGGGCTGCGGAAGCTGCCGCGGTGCCTGGCGGGGCTCCCACTACTGGCGGTGCGGCCTTTTCTCCCGATACCGGTGGCGAGGGCCCCGGTACCGATGGGACTGCGGCACCTGACGCAGTGCCCGGCGTAGCTGCGGCTGATGCGGCCGCGTGGAGGATCCCGGTAGATGTTCCTTGGCCAAGGAAGTCGCTGAGAGATGTCTGATAATAAAATCATGTCCAGTGTGTCTAATGCTGAACTGCAAGAAGAAAGAAAGCGGACAGGGAGACACAGAAAACAGAACTGAACATTGACCAGGGAGAAAATGAGAACCATGAACAGGTGTATAACAGTCAGCTGAATGAGTGTTCCAGAGCAGCAATATTTCAGTGTGTTTGACTTTATTGAGGATGAGGATTATCTGATGAGGATCTAATGAAAATCGCACAGAAGAGAAGAGCACAGAAAGTGTTCAGAGCAGAGCTAAAGTTGCCAAAGGAAAGA